GCAGAGGCAGGTGGATCTCTGTGAGTTCAAGGCCAGCCTGGTCTCCATAGTGAATCCAGAACAGCTAGGGCTACAGGGAAACCCTAATAATAAATATAAATAAGTAAATAAATAAATAAATAATATTTTTAAAAGCTTGGGACAGCTTTACATGGGGGATGGAAGTTTTCAGGAAGAAAACAAAAATTTGGATACAAATCCAAACATTACAAGTATCTCCTAGAACCTTTAAAACTTGATGACAGTTTTATAAAAAGTGACTTTCAGTATTTACTGCTAATTAATTTGCTGGGCATGGACTAAGAATTGTGGATACATTTTCATTTTCAACCCTCAAAGTAACCTGCAAAATCTATTCTGATTTTTTTTTTCCTCCGCTTGATTACAAAGAAACTGAGGGCATGAAAATTAAAATGTCAAGGAGCCACTTGCCTATGCTGGTAACTTCTCCACACAACCATTTTCTATTTTTTCAGCCACATCTTTCATTAGGTCAGTCATACTTTAGATTTTCAAGTCACAGAAGTTCGATTCTCTCCTTGCTATGTTTATTATTAAACACTCAGATCCCAACTTGAACTAACACAAGTGATGTGGACCAGCTGAGAATCAGTCAATTCAAATTCTAAGAGGCCACAATTTTTTGGTTTGGCAACAAAAAACAGAATGTCAAAACTAGCCAAAGTATAATTCAATCTATAGAAAAGAAGGTGCACCATACTCCTTTTCCTCCTAGAAATGAGGCCAAATGAAGTACAAAGCAAATTCAAAATGCTTTCAGCTTCTAAACCTGAAATTTTCATTGCAATAACTAGAAATTATATATTCATTGTCAATTCATAATTCTCATTTTGTTCTTTATTGGTAGGAGAACTTGTCATACATTATTCTAGGTAAATCATTTCTAGATGAATCTCTAAAGAGAGACAAAAAGAAATATAAAAATAAACCATTTAATTCATCATTCTCATTTTAAAGACCATATGTTATTTTATGTATTCCAAGAAAAGAAAACTGATTGAATTATTTTTCTGTCACTAAACCAAAGCTTATCATAGCAAGTCTTTTATACTACTCAACTATACAATGTGTTATAGCAAGCTGGGGTTCACTGCAACAGTGCTCAGCATCTTCTAGGACTTGTGCGCTCATTCTCGTGGACATCATTTCCCTGAGCTTTACTCTAGTCACTCCAAATGTTTCAGATTCTGTGTTCATTGCTTTCAGAATGTTATTGGCTTGGTGTACTAAATACATTTAAAGCTTTAGTTTTTCTTCCATGAAATAAAAAGTGATTTAACTTCTTTGGAAAGAAACCATTTTCTCAATTTTTTTTTTTTAAACACAATGATTCCCTTTTATTTCTTAACTGTTCCCCAAAATCCCACAATAAAAAAAATCATTTAAAGCTGTGTTTGCTAAATTCAATCCAGTTATTGCTGAATTTGTCACAAGGAATTGGTGAAGACAACGTTGTTTGGCAGCGTAACAACAGCAGTAAAAATGAGAACGGAACGGAAGGTTTTCATTGCTTTGGAGAGCTAGAGGGACCACAGTGGGGGTGGGGGGCATCCTGGTGATTGCCTGAAGATAATCCCTGGTTATTTTCCTGAGTGTTACCTGCTTCAAATAAATGCAAACGACAATCACCTTTGGGGGAGTGGGTGGGCATAACCACCTAGTCTAGAATCCAGAATATTTCCCCTTCCCTTGCCCCTTGGCCAAACCACAAGATTAAAATGGTACCATTTTCCTAATGTGTGTTTCGTTCTCATTAATAGTACCTCAGCTGCTCATTTATTTAGATAAAATCAGTAGGATCTCTTTTTTGTTTTTGTTTTTGTTTTTTGATCCATTTACAGTAATTGTGTTCTTTAAAAATAAAACATATTAAGTTTTGTCCTTGGAACAAAGTTTTGTCCTTAAAACAGTTGAAAATTAGAGGTTAAAAAATGTAAACAATCATAGGCAAAGCAAAATTGATACCTTTCCCTTCTAATATTATACATTTACCATCTCTCTACAGTTTTGTTAACATTGTAAGACAGCTGAAATGTAAAAAAATACCTTTTTTTAAAAAACATGCAGTTTTAAAATTCACCCAGGCTGTCATCTTCTTTGCCCTCCTCCACCGCCCCACCTTGCAGTCACCCAAGATGGGAAATTATGATTTAGGGAAATGCTTGAAGTCCCTTAAACAAACCACAACATGTACTCCTCTTTTTTTTTTTTTAACACTCCAGGAAAAAGCTACGGAAAGGAGCAACTCAAGCATGGATGTTTGCTAGTATCAATAATAAGCGGCTGGGAATGAACGCTGTCTTCCCATCAGCATTTATTTATCCTCAACTCTGCAAAGCACTTGCTGCTGATAAAAAATAAAATCATCGGAACCAAACCCTCTCATGCAAGGAGTGAGTGAATGCAAAGCACAGACATCCCCCAAACTGGACATTTTTATTTTCAAGATTTCATCCAAATGTTTAGGGTGACTGGACACAGGGTCCAAGATTTCAATCTGACTTAAAATAGTTCAAATATTATCCAGGGAGCTTTTTTTTGAAAACTTTTGGGAGAGATCTTCATTTTGACGTAGTCTGGCCCTTCCTGGACTGGCATTTATGCAGAATAAAGTTGAAAGCACAGAGTTATGACCTCAGACTGTTTAATGTTATGCAAATTGTTGGATATCACAATTGTCTGTGGAAAAATTTCCAGAACAATGACACGGTATGGAAGTAAAAACAAAACTAGAAAATATTTGGCAAAGTGTGCATATTATCACTTTGGAACTTACAAATTCTCAAGGGGGTTGTTTCTTTGCTGGGGCTCTGGAAAAGAAATCATTTTATATCACTCTATGTGAGGCTCATGAAAGGACAGCTTGTTTTAGGATCCCTGATGTCACTATAACGGCAAGCTAAAATACAATAGCATTTATGAGAAATACCACAGATAAATAAAATGAATTTCAGACTGTGGGGTTTAAATTTTATACTTATGTAGTCTCAAGGGAAGCGAGTTCTTAGATCACTGGCTGGTTTGTGTGTGTTGTTTGATTTGCTGAGATTTAGAGTTTTTGAGTAATGAACTAAAAGGTCACTAATAATTTACAGAAAGTATAGCAGAGATTCCGGCCTGAGTGCTTGGAGATTACAGGGAGGGTCAGAGTCATTTTTCAACATGGAGATATTCTAGTGGTTCCCTCGAGCAAGTTAAGCTTAAAGTTTGATCCTTATGCCCATGTCTTCTTCCTTAAAAATAACGTAGCACATCTATACTGTAAAGCAATCAGCATGCACATGAGTGATTCCTGTTCAAGCAGACTTTCAAAGACAGCACACAAAGAGCTCTTGCATGTTTCAGGAATACAGTGACAGAAACTGGTACACACAATAGCATTTAAAGGAAAACTTGGTGGACTGTGAGGTCAGACTTCGGCCCTTCCTTGTTTGTCAATGGACAAAAACAAACTGGCTCCAGCCTGAATGTCATGTGTCTTTCTAACCTACTGCACAGGAGGGACCAGAGACACAATTATCAATACATCACAAGAGCAGACAGAAAGCTGTTAGTAGTAGGTAGTGACAACCAGGAGTTAAGATACCTTTTAAAAAATGATGCAAGTTCTGTTAGGAGTGCATCTCAGAAAGCAATTCCAAACTATTAGAAGAACGGAACCCCTGTCCAAGTGCCCTTGTGAGACTTTTCATACCTTAATTTACCCTGTCGAATAAAAAACCCCAAATCAAAACAAAACCCATAAAATTCTAGGTCTTCCAAAAAATACCTTATCATTTCTTTCACATAGAAACTTTAACCTTTGAGCTCGCTTATGCATAAATACTCCATCCAAATGTCCTGTTTCCACTGACTGGATCTCAATAGCTTTCTTGCCCCAGGCCATTATCTGATTGGAATGAATGTAGGCCACAGACGTGGGTATTTCTCCCCATTGGAGCACCACATCCTTAGTGATCCGGCTGTAGGTGTTCACGTACACACCCTCATCCTCATAGCAAACAAGCATCTCCATTCCATCTGTTTTAGGCAAGATGACGATAGCATGGGGAGTGATGTTGCCCTGAATATGAGATGGTATGTAGATATCATAAGAGTTTCCTGAATCCACGTCAATTACATGGAAACCAGTGTGTGAGCCAAAAATAACCTTTAATCTTTGACCTTCTTCTGCTGTGAGATCAACAAGCAGAGGCTTATGCTGGAGATCTGCAAAAGACTTAAATGCCATGAACTTGTGATAAGGTTTAGGGGCCCAAGCATATATCTCCACTGCATTCTTTAAGGCAATCACCAAGAATTTAATCCTTTCATATTTAACAACTTTGTAATGTATACAGCCTTGCAGATCCCCAACCGTGATCCAGCCTTGTTTCTTTTCCACTTCCGGGTCATTGTGTAGTATTCTGTTTCTCAACCATGAAAGATAATAAACTCGTAGCTTGTTCTTCTTTCCTGACATTGTCACAAGAACATTTAGCCCTTCTAGCACATCCATCTGCTGAAATCGCCTCCGGTTGATCAGATTGTAGACTTTGCCTTGCCCACTTCTGTCCAAAGCATCAAGCCATTTTCAGTTCCCACCAGAAGGTTTACACCCCACAGAGCTGCACAAAGTATTTCCGAATTGAATCGTTTCTTGTATTTTCTGATTTCCGGCGTGTCACTATGAGGGCGAATGTTTGTTGGGTTTACATTTACCACTGAAATCTTCCTTGCTTCGTTGAGTTTGGCCTGCTCTTGTCTAAGAAGTTCGCTAGTAAACAGGGCGGCAGCGGTTGACTCTTCATCCTCTTCATCTTCATCAGTGGGTGAAGTCTGATATACTCTGGGGTCCACAAAGGGGGTAAAGGAGGCTTTGGTGCTGCCCCCAAGGCCATAGTCAGTCCCGGAGTCCATCTCCTGGGAGTGGGTGGACACACGGCCCAAGCCCTCTGTGGGAGTTCCAGCTGGGGAATGGCTCTGCTGCACAAGGTCTGGGAGATTGATGTGACCTGCAAAGCCATTGCTGTCACTGTGGCCAGATCGCTTCTTCTCTTCAGCTGTCTCTCTAATCATCAAGGTTCCTTCTCTTGAGATACTGCTGCCAAAAGTGTCTGTGTGAGCAGTCTCCAGCCCATGAGTTCCGACCAGTCCCATGTTGTACTGTTCATTGGTCCCTGGGGGTCCTGTTGGTATCAGCCTGGGTATGTCGCTGACAGCCACTGTCCCATCGTGGGTCTCGCTCTCTTCATCTTCCTCCTCTTCCTTACTGCTCTCTGACTCCTTGCTGGAGGAAGAGTAATCGGTCACTTTCTTCAGTGGACGGTTGGTTTCTTCAATGCGGAGTTCTCTTAATTCTTTGGCTAATGCAGTCAGATCAGCTGGTCGACTGGGCCGGGTGATGTCCCTGGACTCTTCTGGTTTTACCTTGGAAGGCTCGTGAGGGAGCACAGGTGATCCTTCTGATTTACTGTTGGCTCGAACTCTGGTTCGTTCACTAGATCCGGCTTGTGAGCCAGGCTGGGAGCCTCCTTGCGAGCTTGGCTGAGAGCTGGGTGTGCTGGAGCTGGAGGAACTGCCGCTGCTGGTCCTCTGCAAGGGGCTCTCCAAGACGGGCTCTGTTCTTCGGAGATCAGGGTTGCTTGCCCTGATGGGTTGCGATCCGAGTCTGGGTCCCAGAGCACTGCCATTCCCAGGAGAGTTCTTTCTGGCTAATGCTGGGGATATAGAAGTTGTTCTTTGAGGCACCTTTGGTGGAATGTCTTCTTCCTGTCGTAACCAAGAGCTTCGGTCAAACTTCTCGATGCGAGTCGGGAGAGGAGGGTTTTCCGAGGTGGGATCCGAGTTCTGGAGAGGCATCTCCACGCGGTGAGAGGTCACATTCAGAGCTTCCTGGAACCCAGACAGGCCCTTTGTGGGTTGCTCGTGCACGGACTGGGAGGCGGTCAAGGCAGGTCCCAGGGATTTTACAGCTACCAGCTGTGGGATCTGGGGGTCAACAGGTCTGAGCATTGGGGGTGTCCGAGCAGGCTGAACCCCACTAATGCTGAAGGACTCCGACCTTGGGGGCAGGTTGGGGTCGGATATCCTGTTGGCAACCTTGTGAGGCATGGCAGGTGAACTCTGCCGGTTGAGTCTTGAACGTTCTTCTACCTCTTTGGCCCATGCAGGCTTCTCACTGGGACTCATCCCTTCTTTGTGATGATAGAGCGGCTTCTTCTCCATGGGTCTCTGCTCCTGCCTCTGGTGCTGGAGGGAAACCAGATAGTCTCTCTCTTGCTTTAGTTGTCTCTGCAGTCTTTCTGCTTGTCTCTGTTCTTCCAGTTGTTTGCGCTTATATTCCTGCTCGTGTTCCGCACGCCTCTTCTCTTCCTCTCGGCGCATCTGCTCCTCATAGTGCCGGCGCTGCTCCCTCTCCTGCTGCTTCCTCAGCTCCTTCTCACGCCTTTGTTGCTCCTCCAGCCGCCGCCTCTGCTCCTTCTGCTCCTCGATGCGCTTCTGGCGCTCAGCCAGCAGCTGCCGCTTGTGCTCCTTGTTCTCTCGTTGCTGCTGCTCCAGCTGCTGTTGCCGCAGGGCCTCCGATCGCTCCTTGTTGGCCAGCTGCAGTCTCAGGAAGTCCCGACGAAGTGTCGACTCTCCGGGCAGGTTCAGAATGGAACTGGGCTCCCCAGAGTCATTCTCCTCCTCTTCCTCCTCACTTCCACTGTACTCATATTCAGTCTCATCTTTTTCTCCTCGCTTCTTCGCTTCTTCTTTGTTCTATCGATATGGTCCTTCAGCTGAATGCGGACCTGTCTCTCATTAGGTTGGTCTTGAATGAACGGGTGCTTCATCAATTGTTCTGTGGCTGGTCGCTGGCTGTGATTCTTCACCAAGCAGCTCTCAATAAATGACTGGAACTTTTTTGACCACTTCTTAGACTTGAGGCAAGGTGCGGGGTTCCGGGGGATGAGGAAGAGGGCTCTCATAGGATGCATGTCACAAAGAGGGGGAGCGCCTTCTGCCATCTCAATGGCAGTGATTCCCAAAGACCACAAGTCACTCTTAAAATCATATGTGGCATCTGGGTTCTCGTCACAGGCAATGACTTCCGGTGCCATCCAGTACGGGGTCCCAATGAAAGTGTTCCTCCTGCCCACTGTTCGATCGAGCTGGGCACTGACTCCAAAGTCCACTAGTTTAACTTCCGCATTCTCAGTCAGTAAGACATTCTGCCCTTTAATATCACGATGAATCACTATGTGCTGGTGCAGGTGACTCAGCCCCCGTAAAATCTCCCTGCAGATATATGCAATCCACTCTTCTTTTAACGTGTTGCCTTTGGTGTTCTTGATCAGGTCAGTGACAGAGCCAGCGCCACAGAACTCCATCACCAACCACAGTTGGTCATCCATGCCTGGAGGGTTCTTTTTGATAAAAGCACCACAGTATGTAGCAATGTTTCTGTGATGAGAATACTTCTTCAGCATGTTAATTTCTTGTTTAATTTCTTCCTCTTCATCCCCTGTGACATCCATGACCTTAATGGCTGCAAGCTGGCCCGTTTTGACATGCCGACCCTTATAAACTTGCCCGTATGTTCCATTTCCAACAAGTTCCACTAATTCAAAGATCCCTGCAGGGTCCCTCAGGGCCAAGAGATCGATTTCATCCAGGCTGCGAGCCGGGGAGTCGCTCGCCATGTCGACTTCTTGGCGGAAGAAATGGACCAAAAGCACCCCGAAGCGTCTCCAGGGGCAAGTCCACCTTGGTCTATTTCGCTCGCGTCCTCATGCGGCTGTCCACCAGAGAGGCCCGGGGCCCAGCCTCCCCCGCCCACCCGGGCCCCAACCACCGTGCGATCCCGATCTTCCGTGAGCGTCCGATCCGCGGGATCCGGGGAGCCCAACCTGCGCGGATCTCCAAGCCGGGAGCCGCGGGTGCGTGTGGGCTGCGCGCCCGGATCGGCTAAGGGCGCTGGGGCTGCGTGGGTGTATTTAAATGGGACATGCTTCTTTGCTTGTGCGTGGATGGCGGCTCCATTTTCTCAATTTTAAGGAATTGTTCCAAGGCCTAACTGTATGATCATTTCCAAAAAGTTAGATAATAGTGGTCAAATAAAAATTCCCGTGCCTAAACAGACTTTTGTGGTATTTTATGGAAATTTTATTTGAGCAAAATCTGGTGATGACCTTATTTCTCTGTTTTGCAAAATTAATGGCCACCAATGATTTTCAAAAATGTAATAATCATAGAAGAAAGTGGTGAGTGGTAAGTTTACTCCATGTACCACATTACACAGTATAATATGCTTAACATCTACTAGACACTGAAGAGGAAAGTTCAAAAGAGCCACAGTCTGGGGGAGGAAATAAATTTATTACACAACTAGTATGATCCACGTGGTAGAAGTTTTGCCTGTGGGTTCACTTTGCTAAGTTTTCTCAGAAGGCCAAGTGTCCTCCCACCCAGCAATTAGCTGACCTCCACGAGCATATCTTAACACGAGTAGAGTAGTCTTTTGTGCTGTCTGAGAAGCTTCAATTATCCCATTGTGACTGATGTTTCTCTCAACCACATACTAACACCTGTTTGCACCTTGTCCAGAGACCAGCAAAAACTGAAAAAAAAAAAATGTGTAAAACAAAGTTGCTAATACAGTTTCTAACAGAGAACAGAAGCACCAGTCCTCTGAACTGTGAGGAAGATATTAGTTGTTTTAACCAATGCACAATAATGTTGCTTTGGGAGCAAAGGAATGGAAGGATCCCTTATTTCCTCTGCTTAAAATCATGAGAAAAAAATGCTGTGCATGCAAAACTTTGCAAAAGGGGCCCAGAACAGGAGGGAGAGGAGGGGGAATAAGAGGAATATTACCAACAATAATTGATAACACAGGATATGATAGAAATCTGAATACCCAGGAATTGATTGCCAAAAATTGACACAGCAGCAAAACAAACAAAATAAACAAACATAAAAAATCCTTTTAGTTGATGTGCATTTCTTGATGTTATGAAATGTCCACTGACTACTTAAAACAGCTGAAAGTTAGGTCTGTCCTAGACAGGGCTATCCCTCATCTGGGCAAACAGCTAAGACCATACTAAATACATGGTCTCTGGTGATCAGCACTCCTGACATTTTGAGATGGAAAGCTCTTGGTTAGTGGGAGGGAGTGGGGATTGCTTCAGGGTGTTCAGCACCATCCCTAGCTTCCGACCACTATTCACAAGCAATAACCTGAAGTCATGACCATTAGAAATATTTCCAATTATGGTTGATGTGTCCTAGGGAGTAAAACACTGCTTGGTTAAAATATGAGCCATAACTGAGTGGTACTGTAACATATAATGAGGATATGATGTACCTTACCTGGAGATAGTAGTGAAGGCTTTTCTAGCATGGTGGTTCTCTAATTGAGTTTTCAATGGTGAGCAAGAATTGGCCACAAAGCCAAAATACACCTCTTTCTTATGAATACATTTAATGGAAGAGCCCATAAATAAGTTACTTAAGGTCAATGTTAGAATTCGTGAGTCAAACTATTCTCATCACACAGGTAGAGTCCACCTGCCATGTGTGGGGACCTAAAGGCCCCACCTTGCATAGGTTGGAAAAGAAGTTACTGGGGACGTGGCCTGGCTTGCTTTGAAAGTCTGAAGAATACTTCCGCACTGCTGAGGAGTGCATGATCAGCGTGTGACCATCCTTAAGATACACCTGGCGGGGGGAGGGGGGAGTTCCAGGTGCCTTTATAAGCTTTGGAACACTTGCAATAAATGAGTGTCTGCCTGACTAAGACTCCCCATTGCGTTTGAGTGTCCCTGGGAAATGGGGGCAGCAAGGGCTGGCGAACAGCATGCTTACTCATCCCCAATCCTCACCTTGCCAGGGGTCACGGGTTCAAACCCCCGGCATCTAGTTTCAGGTGCTTTTATAAGCTTTGGAACACTTGCAATAAATGAGTCTCTGCCTAAGACTCCCCATTGTGTCTGAGTGTCCCCGGGTAATAGGGGTGGCGTGGGCTGGTGAACGGCATGCTTACTCATCCCCAATCCTCACCTCGCTGGGGATCGTGGGTTCAAACCCCCGGCAGCCATGCTCTCTTTCTTTCAAGACAATTTGCACTGTCAAAAGATGGTATAATGTACTAATTCTCTAGTTCAGACGGTGCCTAGTTATGCAATCTTGGGAAAGTTGGCTAACTTTTGAGAGTTTCACTGCCTGTGTCTTCAAAATGAGGGAGTCAATAAGTAGTTGGCCTTCAATGCTCACTCGGATTAGGAACTTCTTTGATAAATCTTTCTTGTTCCTTATAGCAGTCTCTTCACTCATTAAAATGGACACCTTCATGTTATATTGATTTGCAGTGAGCACTAATCAGAACAGCAGTTCTAATAAGTTGGGTACTGCAAGCTGATTAGAAATGCATCCTTGGATTTTTTTCCCCTCTGGGGAGAATTCTTCAGATTCAAAGGAGAGATTGCTCACCCTTTAGACGAATCCCAGCATTATTACATTGACAGTGATTTAAATTGCTCAGGATTGCATCAATTTCAAAGAGTTACAACCTTGTCATATGCTAGCCTGCCACAGATATACACATGTAATATATTAAAGTCTTTCAAAAGTTCTGAAATGCTCCCACAGAGGGAGGGAAAAATCTATTTCTAAAAATATTTCAGATTCCTTCATTAAAAAAATCTTCTGGGTTTTTGGAGGTGTTTTAGGTTAACAAGTGAAATGAACAGAAACCACAAAGTTCTCAGTTATCACTCGCCTTTCCCCACCACCTTCTACCACTATGAAAAGAGCTGCAATAAATATCAGTGTTCAGGTTTTCTTTTTTTCTTTCTTTTTTCTTTTTTGTCTTTTTGAGACAGGATCTTCCTGTAGCCTGTAGCCCCAGTTGGCTTGGAACTCACTATGTGGACCAGGCTGGCCTTGAACTCAGAGAGATCCACCCTCCTCTGCCTCTCAAGTGCACCATCAAGCCTGGCTCAAGTGCTCAGGTTTTAAAGGATGGTGGTAGACTCTTAAAATCTATCTATCATCTGTCAATCGTCTATCTATTTATCTACCTATCATCTATGTATCATCTATCTATCTATATCTTAGCTAAGTAGAGATGGATATGACATCTTATATTCTTGACTAAAAGAATAAGTCAACTTCTATTTAAGGAATCTTCTAATTTGCATGTTTCTTTTTGTTGTTCTTGTTTTGTTTTTGAAAAAGGATCTTATATAGCCAAATCTGACCTTGAACTCCTGATCTTCTTGTCAGCATTACAAGTATGAATTCAGCACACTTACTTTAAAGTTTTCTGAACAAATGCAATAGTTGTGTTTGAAATCTCGAAATAACAGAAATTTTGGGGGTTCATGAATACTGACTGTCCTCTCAGTGCCCACACAACTGCATAAGAAGTGAGTTAAGCTACTCTGTGACAAAATCAGTCCAATGAGAAATTCATAGGAGCGGATCCCAAGCATGGCCTTCTGGCCATACACACTTTAGGTGCTAACAAGTATTTTAGGAAGAGCAAGAGACTCAGTTCAGAACACTCTTTTTATTTAAACTTACATGCATATGAGTATACAAGATGCTTTTATTTCATACAATGTTGGTTAAACTTTTGTTTTGTTAAAGAATTCCTTTGGGAGGATCAAGAGTTCAAAGTCATCCACAGCTACACAGCCAGTTCAAAGTCAAAGCCAGTTTTGAATTTTGTGTCAAAAATAAATTAAAAATAAGGAACTCCTTTGGCGTATCAGTTACCTACTCCTGCATAACAAACCCACTCTGAAACTTAGAGGTTTGAAGGAATAGCCTCTTATCTAATTCATTATTCTGTGGATAAACAATTTAAGCTGGGCTCATGTGGGAAGTTCATTTTCTCCCAACTGTCCTCTCTCACTACCTGCAATAAGCTACAAGTGGCTTCAATGATTACTGTTGCAGTATTTCACAGCCTGGTCATCATGGCTAGGACAAATGAACTATATTCTCTCATCCTTTAGAAAGTTAGCCTGTGTGTATCTGCATGGTGGCTGGTTAGGGTCCAAAACTAGGATCTAAATTTGTCATATCTGGCACACACAGGGTCAAAGGAAAGGAAACAGATTTCATTTCTTGAAACAACAAGCTGTAAAGTCACCTTACACACATAATAACTAAGGGAGGAATGAGGATTATGTCTACTTTTATAATCTGCTACATCTCAGTTACCGAACTACCTTGTGGCTTAAATTTTGAGCTCTAGATATTAGCTTCTTAAATTCAAATCCTGCTTTTCCCTATACTAGGTGAGTAGTGATAACCTCTCCAAACCTAAATTTCTTCATTTGCAAATGGGGATAATAATAGTAATTACTTTATGGTATTATCAAACGTGGCTAGCACAGTTCCTGATATATAAAATAATTCACTGTTTTCATTGTAGTTCTTTTATCATTACCATCTGTTACAAGTTAACTTTACCTCATTATAAGAAACCAAATTATGCTGCTCAGTTAAACTGCTGTTTTCCCCTCCTACAATTCATCTTGAACTCATTTATATCTGAATATAAAAAACATAGAATTATTTGGCCTAGCTTTTACTTTTTACAATAATTAATTAATTAATTGGGCTTTGTGTGTTTGTGTGGGAACACAGTGTCTCTTATATGCTAGTCAATCACTATACTACTGAGGTATTCTATATAGTCCTGAGT